ACACTCCACTCTGGGTGACAGAGTGAGACTCCAACTCAAAAAAAAAAAAAAAATCCTCTGAGATTTTTTTCCATTCTCTGTCTTAGAGATCATTCCTGTGCACTCTTTGGCTCCCTCTTCTATTTCACTAATTCCTTCTTTAGCTTCATCTAACTACTGTTACACACAACTTTTAGGTTTTCTATTTCAGGGATTTAAAAATATTTTATAGTGTTTTATTCCTTATTCATTTTTAAGTCTATCTTTTATCTCTTTAAAGATTTTGTGTGTGTGTGTGTGTGTGTGTGTGTGTATATATATATATATATTTTTTTTTTGAGTTGGAATCTCATTCTGTCGCCCAGGCTGGAGTATAGTGGCACACTCATGGCCACCACAGCCTCAACCTCCTAGGCTCAGGCAATCCTGCCTCAGTCTCCCGAGTAGCTGGAACTACAGGCATGTGCCACCATGCCCAGCTAATTTATTTATTTATTTATTGTAGAAATGAGGTCTCACCAAGTTGCCCAGGCTGGTCTCAAACCCCTGGACTCAGGCAATCCTCTCGCCTCAGCCTCCCCAAGTGCTGGGATTATAGGCTTGAGCCACTGCCTTATTTAATAGTCTATATTCAACAGTGCAATATCTAAAGTACTTTGCACGTTTAAATCTTATTCTTGGCTCGGGGGATTACTAAACTTTTGGGAATGTATTTCTTTGTGTGATTGCTAATATTCTGGGAGTAGGAAGCCTGACTTAATCTGTGGAAATCTGAAGGGGCTAGGTTTAGACAGTTTCATCCAAGGAGAATTTGTGTTTGTTTCTGTTGAGTGTCAAAGAAAAGTCGTATGTAACTCTTGTTTCTTAACTTAGAGATTCCTTGATCATGCAGGGGGTATATATAACGTAGAACCCCAAACATATATGAGACAAAGACCATGGTAACAAATCTAGAAAGAAAACTATATTTATGACAATTTCTTATGAAGACAGACAGGCTTACCCACTGACCCCTTTGGTCAACAGGCACTTTTTTTTAAAGCTTAACCTTTCACTGGGGGATGTAGTCACTTCAAAGGTCAAAGAACTTTATCAAGCATCTCAGATTCAGTTCCCCATAGACAAAGCCTCCTATCCTCATAAATCTCCACAGCTTTTGTTTCAATATTTTCAATCTACCTTCCATGTTTTGCTTTTTAATCACTCTGTTTTAGTTCCCTGGTTTTTATGGGTAGTTATGGGGGGACCTTTAGGTTTCCCTTAATTTTTGTGAGCCTAATACATCTTAAGGAATTTTTTTAGCTGGGCTCGGTGGCTCAGCCTGTAATCCGCGCCTTTGGGAGGCTGAAGTGAGTGGATTGCCTGAGCCCGCGGGTTCGAGACCCGCATGGGCAGCGAGACCTCATCTCTACAATAAATCAAAAAATCAGCCGGGCGTGGTAGCGCATGCCTGTAATTCCAGCTACTTGGAAGGCTGAGGCGGAAGGATCGCTGGAGCCCAGCAGGTCGAGGTTGCGGTGGCCGGGAGCGGCCACTGCACTCCAGTCTGGGCGACAGAGTGAGACTCCAACTCAAAAAAAGAATTTTTAAAAAAATATATCCAGCACTTAAGTATTTGATAGCAGTAGAGCTTTTCAAAGTATTTCATCTGCTTTGCTGCCAGAAACCTGTATTCTCCCCTTTCCAGTAATTTCTAAGAAAAATGCTAGTGTTTAAATTTCATGATATATATTCCTGTGCTCTATACTATTACAGATTCACTTATTTAGGTAAATGTAAAGAAAATCATTCTAAACTAATTAAAAGTCAGAATCACAGAAATCTTTTTTGAAGGAAATAAATTTTGATTGGCATCAACAGCACAGATCTTGGCTAATGAAGTTTTAAGTACATGTTCCAAATTATTTGAATTACAAGTCACTTTTATTCAACACACATAGTTGCTAAAAAATAGTTTGTTCTTCTCAGTGAATTGAGAGTGAATTCTGAAACTGTTTTTATTTGCCAAGCAAATTAATATTAAGTAGAATGAGCAAAGTTAAGATTGTACTCAAATAATAAAAAATTCTTAAATTGTTGTTAAAAAGAAATTACATCTTACAATTTACATATATCACAAAGTGATCAGATTCTAATTCAAAGCATTATACCTAAATATATCAAATATTTACCTCTCCTTATAATAAAAGTTGTAAACTCTTTAACCCAATTAAACTAAAGTACTTGACAGATAAATTATAAAAATGTGCTTTACTCAGGGAGTTTTAGAATTAATTATTAGATTTAATTTTAGATAAAACATTATAATACAATTATAAATTTAATATTTTAAACTATCATTTAATATTTAAAAAGGAAATTTTACCACAAGTATAAGATTAGTCAATTCTTTTACCTCTCCAGCACTTGCACATTCCTTGGATCTTCTGTGAAGTGCAGCCCACGTATCCTCAAACCAAAAAAAAAAAAAAAAAAAAAAGCAAAAAATAATTTGAAATGTAAACACATTAAAAAGAAAAACTATGTAGAGATGACTATGGATATTTTATGGTACCAACAAAGAAAAGCTTAAGTAATAATGAGGCATGTTGCCAGGACTCAGAAGTCAACTTGAAGGAGCTTCCAATGGCCAAATCTGTGACAATTTGAGCAACAAAACACATAATGATAGTAATGGATTGTAACTCAAGGAAAAAACAAACATTTATGAGTCCATGTAATAAAGATAAATAATTGAATAAGCAAATCAATGAGAGAGAAGAGAAAAACTCTTTTTTGCAGTTGAATTCCAAATTGGTAATTATAGAAGAAATGATTGAAAAAGAAAAATTGCTATTTGGTAAACACAGCAGTAATAATTGTTTTAAGTCTCTCAAAAAAAAAAAAAAAAGCCGGGCTCGGTGACTCAGCCTGTAATCCCACGCCTTTGGGAGGCTGAGGTGAGTGGATTGCCTGAGCCCGCGGGTTCGAGACCCGCATGGGCAGCGAGACCTCATCTCTACAATAAATCAAAAAATCAGCCGGGCGTGGTAGCGCGCGCCTGTAATTCCGGCTACTTGGAAGGCTGAGGCAGAAGGATTGCCGGAGGCCAGCAGGTCGAGGCTGCAGTGGCTGGGAGTGGCCACTGCACTCCATCCAGTCTGGGCGACAGAGTGAGACTCCAACTCAAAAAAAAAAGGCTGAGCATGGTGGCTTACACCTGTACTCCCAGCGCTTCGGAAGGCCAAGGAGGAAGGATCACTTGAGGCCAGGAGTTCATGTAATAATTGTTTCAAACAGAATTTTTAATAAGTGATAAAATTAGTGGGTAAAGTTATGAAGAGAAATAGTATATTTACATAGTCTTAAAGTATCTCCTTACAGGATACTCATTAAAAGGGGGAAAACAGTGTTAAGAGAAAACTGGCAGACATCTTTTTCACCAAATGATCAAAATTAACATCAACAGTAATGAGACACAGTAACATTATGGGCATTCTTATATAAAGCAGTGGGGAGGATACAACATTATTTTTCTGATATTCTTGTCCAAAAAAAGCACTAACTTGAATTTAACCACAAGAATATAGCAGATAAATCCAAACTGATGGACATTTTGAAAAATAATTGGCCATTGCTCTTCACAAGTGTCAAGGTCAATGAAAGACAAAGACTGAAGAACAATTCCAGTTTAAAGAAGATGAGGAAGATATGGTGACTAAACATAATGTGTGATCCTGGTTTAGATCCTAGTCCAGGAAAAAGGCATTGGTGAGACAGTTGACAAAATCTGTGTAAGGTTTGTAGATTAAAGTATTTTCCAATGTTAATTTCCTGGTTTTGATCATTGCATTGTGGTTATATAAAAAAGCTAACATTGGAAAAGTTGGAATTCCTTGTTCTATTTTCACAACTTCTTTGTAAATCTGAAATTATTTCAAAAGAAAAAGTTAAAAAAATACAACTTATGAATTATTCCAATTGTTGCTAATGTAAAACTTGATTTCCAGTCTTATCTAAAATGCTAGCTATCCCATAGATAATTCTTCAAACAAGAATACACATTTGATGAGTTTATATTGCCTCCACTCATAGTCATGGAGAGATTCACAATTTTTCTACTGAATTTAAATGGGAAAATCAATCAGAATAATCCAAAGAGACTAAAGTCTAATGTAATTAAAGCAAGGGGAAAGGTCACATAATTAATACAGTCCAGCTGTCATTGTCGACTAAGAGACAGCTCAAAATTTTTCTATAATGTATTGTACTGTGTAAGTATCAATTTAAATCAACAAGTATTTACTGAATGTTAAGTACTGCTAGACACCAGAATTGCTGAGATAAATTTTATTTTTGCATTTTTTTCTTGTCCTAGTACATAGCAAAGAGCCTGACATACAAAAGGTACTCATTAAATGTCTGTTGAGTGAAGGAATACCTACACTAATTGCAAATTTAAATTTTGGAGCTTCATGGTAAAATTTTCTATCACTTTCTCCAATCAGTGAGAAAGGCCAAATTAATCCTTACTTGACATTTAGACTCCAGATCATTCTTTTCTTACCATCTCTCACCACTTCCTTTCCCTTCCCTAAATATGCAACTTTCCACTCGTATATACTATGGTACTTCTTGCCATTATATGCCTCCCTCCCTCACATCTACCTTCCTTATCCAGCACTTAGTTCGTGACTTTCCTACTGTTTTGGGCATTCTCTAAACCTAGAGTAGCCCTACCATTCATTTTCTCTGCTTTATACTATGAAGCATTGTTGGAGAAAGGCATTAAATCCATTACAGATGCATGCTGGTCCACCTCACATGGTAAGATGCCAAACAGCACTTTAAAAAAAAAATTCATTCCTATTAGAGGTTAATATCAGCTAATTTCCCTTAGCTGCCAATCAGCCCTTAAAAAAAAATTCATTCCTATTAGATTGCTCCCTGAAGTCCACACAGCAGGTGTTGTAAATCTCATAAAGCCTTGAAACTCATCTCCACTCAATCATTTTCAGTAGGTGGATGGCCTTATCGCACCATTTCATTGAGATAAAGACCCTAGATATAAACTCCTTCAATTTTCCTATGTTCAAACTCAAATAGCTTTAAAATTACAAGTCAATGCTGAAGAAATGAAGAAACGACATTCATAATGTATAATTCATTCACTCAAATAATTAGTGAATATATGCTATATATACTACATAAGACCAATGGAACAGTTCACAGTATAGTTAGGAAGATGAATACACATGTAAATAATTACCATATTTAGTAGACAAAGGAAAGTGTTTATTATAAAGCATTAGAGCTATAGGAAAATAAAAGAGTCATTCTTGACTGTGTTGAACTACACTTAAAGAATTATGATTTGGGACTGGGTACAGTGGCTCAGCCTGTAACTCCAGCACTTTGAGAGGCCAAGGCCAGAGGACTGCCTGAGCCCAGGGGTTTGCGAACAGCCTGGGCAACTTGGTGAGACCTCATCTCTACAGTAAATCACAAAAACTAGCTGGGTGTGGTGGCATGCGTCTATAGTGCCGGTTATTTGTAAGGCTAAGGTAGAAGGATCGCCTAAGCCCAGCAGGTCGAGGCTCTGGTGGCACTGCACTCCAGCCTGGACGACAAGAGTGAGACTCCAACTAAAAAAAAAAAAAAATTATGATTTGGGAGATAGAGGGAAATAGCAGAGAGTAAGAAAGCGCCGAAAACCCTAAACATAATTGCACTGGCAGAATCTATCTGGTGTATCTATTTTTTGAACTCAGGATTCTATTGAAAGCTTGCAACTCCCAGGGGAAGGCTTGGAAAGTAAACTGAGGTTAATTTCAGCCAATTTCAGGTCTTAGCACAGTAGCACCTACTCATCCCCTACCCACTCATCCCCTACCCACAAGCCCATGGCAGGCAGCCATGCATTTGTCCCTGAAGCAGCTTGTACATAGCTTGTGAATGCCAGGGTGGGCCTATAAGGACCCAGTACCCCAAATATTGGGGAATCTGTACTCTCACCACAATAGCTGCTTCTGATCAGGGAGATGCAGACATAGAGGCAGCCACTGTTGCAAAATCCTCCTGCTCTGGCTATAGCAAGTTTCAGAGGATTTAGAAGGCCACCATCTGGTTTTATCCTCCTTCATTGTTTTCTTTTCTCTCTTTGAAAACCAGACATTTAAAGACTAGGACATTCAAAGATCCAGGGGCTCACACCTGAAATCTCAGCACTTTGGGAGGCCAAAGTGGGAGGAACGCTTGAGCCCAGGAGTTCAAGACCAGTCTGGGCAACACAGCAAGACCTCATCTCTACCAAAAAATTGGCCAGGCATGGCGGCACGAACCTGTAGTTCCATCTACTCAGGAGACTGAGGCAGAAGGATCACCTGAGTCCAGGAGGTTGAAGCTGTGGTAAGCCATGATTGCATCACTGCACTCCCGCCACAGAGTAAGATCCCAACTCAGGAAAAACAAAAAACAAAAAACTAAGACACTGAAAAGTAACTACATATTCAGGGGAATTTAGAACATCACCATACATGCCAGTGAAAGGTGTAAGCTCATAAAAGACCTGGGTAGGCTTAAGGTTACACTTCTCATCACTGACACAGAGACACTAAAAACATAAAAAAAATAAGACAAATCAAAACCCTGAGGAAGGAGGAAAATCTGATCTCCAGTGTTACAGTATACAATTCAACTGCCCAGTTTTCAATTTTAAAAAAATCACAAGCATACATACAAACAGGAAATATGACCCTTTTAAAGGGGAAATAATCAACATAAAATGTCCCTGAGAATGATCACATAGGGAATTAACCGGATAAAGATTATAAAACTACTATTTTAAAGGTGCTTAAAGAGCTAAAAGAAGACATGAATAAAGTCAAGAAAATGATACATGAATTAAATGGTAATATCAGTAAAGAGATACAAAATACAGAAGGAAATGAATAAGAAATTCTGGAAATGAAAAGCATAATTACTAAAATGAATAATTCCCCAGAGGAATTCAAAAGCAGAAGAAAGTATCAACATGATTGAAGAAATGCCAATTGAAATGATCAAGTCTGAGAAACAGAAAAAAAAGATTGAGTCTAAGGGACCTAAGAGACACCATCAAGAGGACTAATATATGTATTGTTGGAGTCCACAAGAAAATAGAGAGAATGGGACAAGAGATTATTTGAAGGAATAATGGGCAAAATCTTCCCAAATGTGATAAAAGACATGAATGTAAACATCCAGGAAGTTCAATAAACTCCAAGCAGAATAAATGTAAAAAGACCCACCCTGAAGCACATTAGAATCAAACTGCTCAAAACCAAAGACAAAAAGAGAATCTTGAAAACAAGACAGAGGTGACTTGTTACATTAAGGGATTCTCAATTAGAGTATTAGTAGATCTCAACAGGCCAGAAGAGTAGAATGATATACTAAAAGTACCGATGGAAAACAACTCAACCAAGAATCCTATATTT